TCCGGTGACGAATCCCAAACCGGCGCCCTCGCTTGAGACATCCTCACAAAACCGGCCCCGGGGGAGGTGCCCAGAGGAGCCCAGAGCGGCCTCCGGCACCGTTTCCGGACGGATCCGGACGGATCCGCTGGATCCGGGGACGAATCCCAAACCGGCGCCCTCGCCTGAGACATCCCCGCAAAACCGGCCCCGGGGGAGGTGCCCAGAGAAGCCCAGAGCGGCGTCCGGCACCGTTTCCGGACGGATCCGGACGGATCCGCTGGATCCGGGGTCGAATCCCAAACCGGCGCCCTCGCCTGAGACATCCCCGCAAAACCGGCCCCGGGGGAGGTGCCCACAGGAGCCCAGAGCGGCCTCCGGCACCGTTTCCGGACGGATCCGGACGGATCCGCTGGATCCGGGGACGAATCCCACACCGGCGCCCTCGCCTGAGACATCCCCGCAAATCCGGCCCCGGGGGAGGTGGCCAGAGAAGCCCAGAGCGGCTTCCGGCACCGTTTCCGGACGGATCCGGACGGATCCGCTGGATCCGGGGGCGAATCCCAAACCGGCGCCCTCGCCTGAGACATCCCCGCAAAACCGGCCCCGGGGGAGGTGCCCACAGGAGCCCAGAGCGGCCTCCGGCACCGTTTCCGGACGGACGACCTGACTGCATAACACGCCTGGATATGCCGACGGGGGCGAAGGAGGAGGAGGAGGAGGAGGAGGAGGAGGAGGAGGAGGAGGAGGAGGAGGAGGAGGAGGAGGAGGAGGGGGAGGGGGCAGGCGAGGGAGCCCATGCCCTTTTGGAGGGGCCCTGAGGGAGCCCTGATGGGCTTCCGGCACCATGGAGAGGTCCTGTGGGGCGGCCGCCCCTTCTTCTCTCGGTCGTTTCCCTCTCGCCCAGAAGCGCGCGCCCCTTCTTCTATATATACAGAAACTCCCGATCAACCGCAGAGCGGCGGATGTTCACGACGACGGCCGCGCCGTCCACTCCCCTCTCCTGAGGCCGCTCCTGCCGCGCCCCCCACCCCCGCCACCCGCCGGCCGAGCGGCGAGGTCCGCCCGGTGTCCGGGCGCGGCCACGACGTCTGGGACCGGGGGCGCCGCTCCGTCGCTCAGCCACGCGCAGAGGGGGGCACAGTCAACCCACAGAGTAAGGATGGGCAGCCTTCCCAAGGGCTACCCTTGCATCCCTCCTCGGCCCATCGTTGGCCGCTTTCGCTGGCCGCGCCCCGTTCGCAAAGGGTCTTCATGGCCTTCCAAGGCCCTTGCATCCTTGTTGTGCGCCCCTGCTACGCGGGTTCACTGTAGGGGGACGGGGCAAGGCTTCTTAGAAGCACCCTGCTTCTCAGAAGGCGCGGGCCGTGCCTGTAGATGTAGGGCCAGCGCCTGTTAAGGAGCAGCCTCCTTCCAAGAAGCCTTGCACGCTCCCCGGACCCCCCTGTGCGCGCCCCTCCGCCGCGCGCCTTCTTCCCGCGCAGGGCCACTGGTCGGATGGGGCCAGGACGAGGATAAAAACGGATCCGTTCCAGAGCGCTCCGGAACGCTCTCAGAGCCTGCCAGAACGCTCTGAGAAGGCCGCGGCGCTCGACAATATCCTCCAGGGTCGCTGGATCCCAGAGATCCTCTACAGTCGGGGCGCTGACTAAGGAACCCTTTTCGTTTGGGAGGGGCTCCGTGTTCCTTAGTTGGAGTTTAACGGGGGGAAATCGGAGTTTAACGTAGCACCCCGCAATTGCGGATAAGAGTGAGGGGGCGGGCGCGGGCGACGCGGGCGTCGTCAAGCCAGCGGACCTCGTGGCCCCCACCTTCCCTGTCGATGGCGCTCTCCTCCTCCTCCTCCTCCTCCTCCTCCTCCTCCTCCTCCGCCTCCTCCTCTTCCTCCTCCTCTTCCTCGTCCTCGTCCTCGTCCTCATCGTCATCGTCGTCGTCCTCCTCCTCCACCTCGTCCTTCTCCTCCTCCTCCTCCTCCTCCTCCTCTTCTTCCTCGTCCTCCCTCCCCCCCCTCGTCCTTCCATCATCGTCCTCCCATTGTCGTCATGTTCCTCCTCGTCGTCCTCCCCTTCCCCCCTCCCGATCCTCCCCCCTCCTCCTTTTCGTCGTCGTCGTCGTAGACGTCGTCGTCGTCGTCGTCGTCTCCTTCCTCCTCCTCCTCCTCCCCCTCCTCATCCTCCTCCTCCTCCTCCTCCTCTTCCTCCTCCTCCTCTTCCTCCTCCTCCTCCTGCAAGAGCAGCCCGCCGCAGGCGCCGAAAAATTTGGTTTGTACACTGAACGTGATTTGGGTCGCGGGTGGGCCGCGGATTCTCCACCGGGAACGAATGCAAAAGATGCCCGCCGCAGGCGCCGAAAAAATTGGTTTGTACCCTGAACGTGGTCGCGGGTGGGCCGCGGTCTCTCCACCTAGAACGAATGCAAAAGATGCCCGCCGCAGGCGCCGAAAAATGTGGTTTGTATTCTGAATGTGGTTTGGGTCGCGGGTTGGTCGCGAGTTGGTCGCGGGGTGGGTCGCGGGCTCTCC